CATTTGAGGAAATGTATTTTCAGATTCCGAGTAAACTGCATCATAGCACACGGGTGAACACCCCCCCCCCCACGGGTGACCGGGACAGGACAGAAGCAGAAGGTGGTTCTTAAAGAGACAGAGGCCAATTTCAAGGCATTTAGAAGAGGAAGTGATGAGAAGATAAGTTTATTTTCTATTTAAACATAAAAACAGCATTTTAATAACAACTAAAGGTGACATAGATACTTTATTAATGTATAGTATTTAAATATATGCCTGAGAAACACATAATATTGGCCCTTTAAGAAATTTTAGTGCTGAGGGTTTTAGTGTTCCAAGTGTTAGGTRTTTTTGGTTACCAGTGTCTTATAACATATGTTTTGGTGTAATTCGTTTTGACTTCATCTTATTTATAGCAGTGTCTTTGAGTGATTTTGGTTTCTTACTTTCTGAATTTGAAAAAAAAAAATTGGACATGATGTTTTTTTGTCTCGTTAATTTTGCAGTGGGCACCTTTAAATCTTCTGGGCTAGCCTAGGAGATTGTAAGAAAAYGACACTGCATGCTCTAAAAGAAATTTTGTCACTTTGCTGTAAAAGCTGGAAGTTAATTTGGAGGACCCCTACCTGTCTGTCCCTTCCCAAGGGTCTTCTCCAGCCGGTAGGGCCCCACCAACTGGCTGGACTGGCCCACGGTGAGCTCTTTGCTGCTCATCCTCCCAAAGATGATTTTTTTACTCCTGAAACGAGGCAAACTACGACTGTGAGGAGCATCACAGGCTGGAGAGGAAGCGGAAGAGGAGGGAGGGATGAGTCGTGATCAGGTCCGTGCACTTGTCCAAGAYGGGAAGGAGGATCAATCCAGGCTCCTCCGACAATCTGATTCCCTCTAAGCACAGCCAGATGAGAAGGAGGAGGGAGAGAAAAGCTGAATGAGAGGAATGTGAGAGTGAGAGCTCACCTGAGGCCCTCGGTTTTCAATCTGCTCGGCTTTAAGAGGAAGATCTCCTTCAAAGGAGCAGGAAGGCTGTGATGATTGATTTCTGTTAAGAGCAGAGTATCAAATAACCCAAGTCAGGGAGGGGTCTGACTGAATCCATCCCCTGGATCCATATCTGGCACCCCTGTCCTAAAAAAGCTTCTCATCATCATCATCATCMTCCTCCTCCTCCTCCTCTGGAGCTCCAGCATGGTCCCTGCACCGGCCAGGCGGCCGGGCCTCAGATTCTGATCTGCTGCTATCCCAGCAGCATCAGCAAAAAGAAGAATGGCTTTTCCGATATCCGGTGCACACTTTGGCTCAGCCCCTTCACCTCCTCCCCTCTCTGGCCCTGCATCAAGAAACAGGAGGAAGAGGAGCGTTAAAAAGGAGGAGAAGAGAAAGGCCGATGCCTTCCCTCCGGACAGGACAGCTGCAGTGGGGAGTGGGGCGCTCCCTGAGCCGGAGGAGGAGGAGGAGGAGGAGGAGGAGGAGGATCGT